TGTGGCCTCCTCTACATCGGGGAAACCAAGCAGAGGCTCGGGGACCGCTTTGCAGAACACCTATGCTCGGTTCGCAATAAACAACTGCACCTCCCAGTCGCGAACCATTTCAACTCCCCCTCCCATTCCTCAGACGACATGTCCATCCTTGGCCTCCTGCAGTGCCACAATGATGCCACCTGAAGGCTGCAGGAACAGCAACTCATATTCCGCTTGGGAACCCTGCAGCCCAATGGTATCAATGTGGATTTCACAAGCTTCAAAATCTCCCCTCCCCCTACTGCATCCCAAAACCAGTCCAGCTCGTCCCCGCCTCCCTAACCTGTTCTTCCTCCCACCTATCCCCTCCTCCCACCTCAAGCCGCACCCCCATCTCCTACCTACTAACCTCATCCCACCCCCTTGACCTGTCTATCCTCCCTGGACTGACCTATCCCCTCCCTAACTCCCCACCTACACTCACCTTTACTGGCTCCATCCCCGCCTCTCCGACCTGTTTGTTTCCTCTCCACCTATCCTCTCCTCTATCCATCTTCTATCCGCCTCCCACTCTCTCCCTATTTATTTCAGAACGCCCTTCCCCTCCCCGTTTTCTGATGAAGGGTCTAGGCCCGAAACGTCAGCCTTTCTGCTCCTATGATGCTGCTTGGCCTGCTGTGTTCATCCAGCCCTGCACCTTGTTGTCTCACCTTCTTCACTACCCTGTCTACCTGTAACTCCACTTTCAAGGAACAATGAACTTGCACTCCAAGTTTTTTTTTTTCCCTTTATTCATTCATGGGATGAGGCGTCGCTGACCAGGCAGCATTTATTGCCCACCCCTAATTGCCCAGAGGGCAGTTTAGAGTCAGTCACATTGTTGTGGGTCTAGAGTCACATGTAGGCCAGACCAAGTAAGGATGGCATTTTCCTTCCCTAAAGGACATTAGTGAAGCAGATGGGTTTTTCCCGACAATCGACAATGGATCCATGGTCATCCTTAGATTCGTAATTCCAGATATTTTTTATTGAATTCAAATTCCACCATCTGCCACAGCGGGATTTGAACCTGGGTCCCCAGAACGTTATCTGGGTCTCTGGATTAACAGTCCAGCTATAATACCACTAGGCAATTGCCTCCCAAGAACCCTTTGTTCAGCAACACTCTCTAGTACCTTACTGTTAAGTGTAAAAGTCCTGTTCTGATTTGCTTTTCCAAAATGCAGCACCTCACATTTATCTAAACTGAACTCCATCTGCCACTCCTCAGCTTATGGCTGGTAGACAAAACTTTGGCTAAGGGAGAGAAAGCGGAGTAGTGGTTTGTCACACTGGAGCAAAGGGTGCAGTAGAGTCCCCCATGGGTTGGTATTAGGATCTTTTCTCTTTTTGATATTTACTGATGACGTGGAATTGATCCGAAAGAGCATGATTTCAAAATTTACAGATGCCTCAGAATTTGGAATTGGACAGAAAATAAATATTGGAGGCAAATAATAGGCTTCACGAGCACACAGACAGAAACACCACTGAAACATGACAAATGAAATGTAAAGCGAATAAATGTGAAATGATAACGTTTTGGTAGGAAGCACGAGGCAATGCTACATAAACTACATGGTGCAATATTGAGGATGATGCAGGAAAAAGACTTACCAGCGGTGTGTGAACACAAATCTTTGAAAATGCTTGGTCAAGTTTTATAGATGTACCATAGAAAGCATTCTATCTAGATACAACAACTGCCCAGGATCCCAAGAAGCCACAGAGTGTTGTAAAAAACAACCTTCCATCCATTGACTCCATCTATATTTCTCACTGCCTCAGGAAGGCAGCCAACATAATCAAAGACCCCTCCTACCCCGGTTATAATTTCTTGGTTGGGTTTTCTCCAGTTTCCTCCCATAGTCCAAAGATGTGCAGGTTAGGTGGTTTGCTCATAGAGTCCACAAATATGCAGGCTAAGTGGGTTAGCCATGGGTAATGCAGGGTTATAGTGATAGAGGAGAGGTTGGGTCTGAGTGGAGTGCTCTGCGGAGGGTCGTTGTGGACTTGATGGGCCAAATGGCCTGCTTCCACACAGTAGGAAATCTACAATTTTATGATTCAATGATTCTCTTCTGTTGGGCAGAAGATACAAAGGCTTAAACAGATGTGCCAACAGATTCAGGAACTGCTCCTTCCCCGCTGTTATTAGACTTCTGAATAGACGTCTCAAATTTAAAATTAAGTGTTGATCACACTCTGTGTGCACCTTCTCTGCAGCTGTAACATTGTATTCTTTGCTCTGTTCTAATACCCTAAGCACTTTGTATGGTATGCTCTGTCTGTACTGCATGCAAAACAAAATTTTTCACTTTATCTTGGTACATGTGACATTAATAAATCAAATCAAATCAAAAAAAGTGTTGTGATGGCAGATGAGATAGTTGATATTGTTAATAGATACAGAGGACAAAAGCAAAGAAATGTGAAAATAAAGTCAACAAACTTTGGATGCACTCAGCCAGTCTGCCATTGTATGAAGAGAGAAATAGGAATATTATTTCAGGTTGGTAACCATTTATCCAGTTATGCTACACCTCTATGCAAGACTGGTGAGGCCTCAGCTATGGTATTGTGCACAATTGTGGACACCATCTTTCATGAAGGATGAGAATGCAATTGAGAGGATGCAGAAAATGTTTAAGTGGTTCCATGGAGGAGGGACTTCAGTTACAGCAATAGATTGGAGCAATTAGTGAAGAAGGGGAGAAGATTGAGACAACATTTGTTTGAAGTATTCAAAATCATGAAGACTGTGGTTTGTGCAAAACTGTTCCTAAATCAGAGGATGTTGGTTCAGGTTGTTTAGCAAAGTGACCAAATGAGGAAAACAATTTCATGCAGTGTGTTGTTAGGATCAGCATCATCCTGCCCAAAACTGTGGTGGATGTAGATTCAGTCATGGATTCCAAAAGGGAAAAAAAAAGTATGGGTGCGGGGAAAGGCAAGAGAAGTGGGGCATATCGGATATCTCTACCAATCAGCCAACGCAGGCTTGATGGGCCAAGTGGCCTCCTTCTATGCTGTAATCAATGTGTATGATAGTTATCAGCTCAGCAATGGTTTCATTGAATGGTGAAACAAATTTAATGGGCTGAATGGCCTACTTCAGCTCCCATACCTGATGATCTTATGTTTCTATGGAAAGATGTAGAGTCTGGGAATGGGGAATGAAAAGTCCCTGACAAAGGCAATCTGTGATATTTCTTATTTTGTCTATTGCTAGGTGAAGTGTACATTACATTTGACGTGAGATAGTAGGAACTGCCGATGCTGGAGAATCTGAGATAACAACGTGTAGAGCTGGATGAACACAGCAGGCCAAGCAGCATCAGAGGAGCAGGAAGGCTAACGTTTCGGGTTGAGACCCTTCTTCAGAAATGGGGGAGGGGAAGGGGATTCTGAAATAAATAGGGAGAGAGTGGGAGGCGGATAGAAGATGGATAAAGGAGAAGATAGGTAGAGAGGAGACAGGCAGGTCAAAGGTGAATGTAGGTGAGGAGTTAGGGAGGGGATAGGTCGGTCCAGGGAGGACGGACAGGTCAAGGAGAGGGGATGAGGCTAGTGGGTAAGAGATGGGGCTGGGGCTTGAGGTGGGAGGAATGGTTAGGGAGATGGGGACGAGCTGGCTGGTTTTGGGATGCGGTCGGGAGAGGGGAGATTTTGAAGCTTGTGAAGTCCACATTGATACCATCAGGCTTCAGGGTTCCCAAGCGAAATATGAGATGCTGTTCCTGCAGCTTTCGGGTGGCATCATTGTGGCAATGCAGGAGGCCCAGGATGGACATATCGTCCAAGGAGTGGGAGGGGGAGTTGAAATGGTTCGCGACTGGGAGGAGTAGTTGTTTGTTGCGAACAGAGTGTAGGTGTTCCGCAAAGCGGCCTTCAAGCTTGGTTTCCCTGATGTAGACGAGGCCACAACGGGAACAGCGGATACAGTATACCACATTAGCAGATGTGCGGTAAATTGGATAGCTTATTATTCTTAGTGCCTGGAAATAGCACCTTTATAATACAGTATGATACAGAACATTACAGAAATGAAAGTCAGACTGGAGGAGAACATAGTACTCGTTCAATTTCCCTCGCAAAAAACTTCATGCTCCCTTACAGCTGTCTATCCCAACTTCTTTTTAGGAAAGGAAAGAGCTGGTAGGTCAAATGTAACATAAGATAACATGGTGTAGAGCTGGATGAACACCGCAGGCCAAGCAGCATCAGAGGAGCAGGAAAGCTGACGTTTCGGGCCTAGACCCTTCTTCAGAAACGTCAGTTTTCCTGCTCCTATGATGCTGCTTGGCCTAATGTGTTCATCCAGCTCTACACCTTGTTATCTCAGATTCTCCAGCATCTGCAGTTCCTACTATCTCTGAAACAATTTTAACCCCACCATACTGTTTTGTGTTTGTAAAATCTTCCATACTGCCCTGTTTTGACAGCATCACCTTGCTAAATTACTATGATCTCTCTACCCTAGTTTTGAACTTTTGGACAGTTTTGAATTTCTTATTATTTTGGTTAGACCCTCAGCATGCGACTCTTATACCTATCGTGTTATTCCAGTCATTTGGTTTGTCTCAAGCACCACCTTATTTTTAATTTTTTGTAATTATCTCTCTGCCTCATTTAATCCAATTATAGGTCATCCCTTCACTGGTTACTCAGCTGTTGACACTTTACTCACTGTCTAACACTCTTGGTCACCTGCAGAGAATTATCATCTATCACTCCACTCATATCAGTTGTCTGAATCTTTTGATCTCTCTGCCCTTGATCTCTCTGCTGATAAACTCTATGTCTATGTGCTCTTCTCTCTCACTGTCTCACCTGACGAAGGGGCTGAGCCCCGAAAGCTTGTGATTTCAAATAAACCTGTTGGACTATAACCTGGTGTTGTGTAACTTCTGACCTTGTCCATACAGTGGGAACACAGCACTGTTGAAGGTGCTGTCTTTCAGAGAACCGGTTAAGCTGAAGCTGTGTCTGTTCTAGATATGAAAGATCTCATAGCGGTAGTCAAAGAGAAAACTAGCAAGTTGTTTCTGGAGCTCCGACCAATGTTTTTCCCTCAAGCAACATTTAAAACCCGAGCGCTGTGGTTGTATCTACAGTACACATTGATTGCAGCAGTTTAAGGAGGTGACTCAGCAATGCCCTTCTAAGGACAATTAGTGACAGGCAACAGCGATGTCCACAAACTGTGAAAGAACAAACACAGAGGACACAAACACACAAACACAAAAGCAGAGGAATTGTTTCTCTCTGTAGTTTTCTGTAGGACATCGCTGTTGCCTGTCACTAATTGTCCTCAGAAGGGCATTGCTGAGTCACCTCCTTAAACTGCTGCAATCAATGTGTACTGTAGGTACAACCACAGCACTCGGGTTTGAAATGTTGCTTGAGGGAAAAACATTGGCCGGGGCTCCAGAAACAACTTGCTAGTTTTCTCTTTGACTACTGCTATGAGATCTTTCATATCTAGACCAGACACAGCTTCAGCTTAACCTGTTCTCTGAAAGACAGCACCTTCAACAGTGCTGCGTTCTCTGTAGTTTTCACTGGATGTGCATCTCCTAAGGCATTCCTTATTGCTATTGAACTGAATGGCTTGCTAGTCTATTTCAGAGGGCATCTGAGTGCCAACCTTATCCTGTCACTATGATTTTCCACTCTATATCCCGTTTCCTCCATCCAAGCCAGGATAATTCCCTCTTTTCTGATGCCCATGCCCTTTAAGTCCATTTCCTTTCTAATAGCCCATCTTTATCTGAACATCTTGAGTTGAGCATCATTTCGAGTTTAGTCCTGATTTGCCTGCCTCATCACATGGCTGTACTGTTTGGACAGACTTATTTCGCTGAGCGGACTTCCCCCGACACTGCCACAACTTAGCAACAATCATGGATAGTTGGTAGTCTCCTTCTGAGGGCAGAAATGTAAAATACTCAGGGGCATAGGTTTATGGTGAGAGGGGCATAGGTTTAAAGGAGATGTGCAAGGCCAGTTTTTTATGCAGCTCGATAGGATTGCAAAGGGGGAGCTCGACGACAGCAAGATCCCGGCGGAGAACAAATTCCCATTCCAGATATTTCCTTTTTGAACCAATAATTTCGCGTCAAGGTTGTGAATGTCTAGAATTCTCAGCCACAGAGAGTTGCGGAGGCTGAAGCACTGGAAGTAGTTAAAGAGGAGATAAAGAGAATATCGGGTGTTGAGATATATGACAATTTGTCATCAAAGAGAACTGAGGCCTGAGGCAAATCAGCCAATGATCTTGCTGAATGGCAGAACAGGCTTGATGGGCCGAACAGTCCACTCCTGCTCTTATTTCTTACCTTCTCCTTCTGCCTTGTATAATTCTAAAGTTCAATATATGTTCTTCCTTGGGTGTAGCGCCAAGTAATATTCATTATGGTTCAAGAGTGTCTAACCAGAGATTTTTTTTTCGTCTGAAGGGCTTCTAACCCATTTTAGTCCTCCTGATACAAAGGCCGGCATTCAATTAGCCTTTGACAAATGTTGGACAAAGTACACATAAAGAACCCATTAGCAAAATTGCAGCTCACTGACTAGGAGGAACAGAGACAACTTGTTTAGGAAATTGGCTTAGGGTTAGAAAGCAATAGATCTCAGCAAATGGTTATTTTTCAGATTGGAGAATGGTAGACAGTGATGCCCCTCAAGGATCAGTGCTTGAACAACTGGTGTCTTTTGCCAAATTATAAATCACTTGCCTTTATTGGTCAGTGCATTGAGTATAAGAGTTGGGAAGTCATTTTGCGGCTGTACAGAACATTGGTTAGGCCACTATTGGAATATTGTGTGCAGTTCTGGTCTCCCTGCTATAGGAAAAATGTTGTGAAACTTGAAAGGGTTCAGAAAAGATTTACAAAGATGTTGCCAGGGTTGGAGGGTTTGAGCTATAGGGAGAGGCTGAATAGGCTGGGGCCAATTTCCCTGGAGCGTCGGAGGCTGAGGGGTGACCAAATAGGGGTGTATAAAATCACGAGAGGCATGGATAGGGTAAATAGACAAGGTCTTTTCTCTGGGGCGGGGGAGTCCAAAGCAAGAGGGTGCAGTTTTAAGGTGAGAGGGGAAAAATTTAAAAGGGACCTAAGGGGCAACTTTTTCACGCAGAAGGTGGTGCGTGTATGGAATGAGCTGCCAAAGGAAGTGGTGGAGGCTGGTATAATTACAACATTTAAAAGGCATCTGGTTGGGTATATGAATAGGAAGGGTTTGGAGCAATATGGGCCAAATGCTGGCAAATGGGACTAGATTAATTTAGGAAATCTGGTTGTAGGGTCCATTTCTGTGCTGTATATCTCTATGACTATGACTCTATATGTATAGAATATAAATATTAAAACTTGTCAATGATATCAGACTTGGAGGACAAAACCCAATCAAATGCAACAGGCCATTGATAGGCTAGCAGAGTGCACAGCCAAGAGGCAGATAGAATTTAATGTAGAGAGGTTGGATGGATATATGAATAGGAAGGGTTAAGAGGGCCAAATACTGGCAAATGGGACTGGATGTATTTAGGATATCTGGTCAGCATGGATGAGTTGGGCCGAAGGGTCTGTTTCCATACTGTATATCTCTTTGACTCTGTGAGTCTATTTAAGAAACATTTAGACAGGTAAATGGATAGGATAGGTATGGAGGGATATGGACCAAATGCAGGTAAATGGGACTGGGCAGCATGGACAAGTTGGACCAAAGGGCCTGTTTCCATGCTGTGGACCTCTATAACTATGATATTTGGGTAAGTACATGGATAAGAAATGTTTGGAGGTACATAGGCCAAGTGCAGGCAAATGGGACAACTTTGGGATTATGGTCAGCATGGACTGGTTGGACCGAAGGGCCTGTTTCCGTGCTGTATGACTCTATGACTCTAAATGAATGATCTTCCAGTTAATCTGCTTTGATGGAATAAGCCAAGTAATAAAGTCATTGGAGAAACTGAGATGAAATCACCTGCTGTCCTTGGATTGGGATCATGGGAAATTTATGTCAAACTGAGCAAGCAGGCAAAGTCTCAGTCGATGGGAGTTCTGACAATGCAGCTCCCCAGTACTGGTCGGATTTGTCTGCCTCTTCAAATGTAAATAATTGTGAAATCGTCACTGGCTGTGTATTAGTAAACAGCAATTGAGATGACCATAAGGAACTTTGAAACAACGTAGTAGGGTTTAAATATCATTTATGACAGGGAAAGGTTTTGGGCTGATGTCAGTGTTTGTAATACTTGCTCTGGGCGCTACATTCGGTGTGAAGATTAAGCAAAAATATTTTGACAAAGACAACCGAGGAAACAAGTCGTCTTAAGCCATGTTTTCTCAATCGACTGCTCGTCTTCAGGCTATTGTTCCTGGAATTATCAACTCCAACTGACTCTCTTCTGAAGTGTTTGAAACTGTTGTTTCACAGCAGTCAGCCCGATATCAAAGGAAATTTACGTCTAATGCT